TAATGATACGTGAGCAAAACTACAATTCTGATTATTAGTATTAAAGCTTTCTTTAGTGATGCAAAAAGAAATGTGTTTTGAAAGGAAGCTCACATTTGGAACTTTGCTTCATGCTCTATCATTGGTTTGGAGGGGAAAATGTGAGAGGAGCTAAACAAAGCAAGATGTATAAGCATGATGAACCAATTCCATTCTCTTTTTCATTAAGGCTCATAACTATGTGTTTACTATTGTGCACAATAGTACCGCCTTCCGGCGATACTTAGTGATATCTCACCTTGCACTGTCCTTGCCCTCGTGGTGAGGACAGTGCCATATGGGGGAAGCCTGGGCCCGCCTCTTAGTTGGTTTCCTACAACCAACTTTCTTGAGTGCGGGCCGCTTTCAGCTTGGGTAGGTGGGTGGGTATCACCAAACTCGTCTTTGTCTCAGATTGGGTGGGAGGGACGGAAATCTGAGAAACAAGTTCTAGCAAAGAGTTGATTGAGTGCTGAAAAATGAAAAGCTTCTTTCAAAGCGTGAAGACTAAGAGTGTGAGGAGATGATGAAGGTTAAGGTTGAAATTCAGAATTTCAAATCCTAACCAGAGAATCTGTACAGATTTGACTTTCACGAGTTAGCCTTAGTATTTCACAGGAATGGACACCTACACCATTTCATGCCTCATGGTGTATACTATCCATTCTCTTTTTCATTAAGGCTCATAATTACTATGTGTTTACTATTGTGCACAATAGTACCGCCTTCCAGCGATACGTAGTGATATCTCACCTTGCACTGTCCTTGCCCCCGTGGTGAGGACAGTGCCATATGGGGGAAGCCTGGGCCCGCCACTTAGTTGGTTTCCTACAACCAGCTTTCTTGAGTGCGGGCCGCTTTCAGCTTCCACCCCGCCCGCCCTCCTATAGGTGTCTGGATGGGTTGATCGACATCCCTTCTACCAAGGTGTTTGGCGGGTAGACGTACCGTCCTTGGCCTGTCGGTCAACCCCATCTACGGTGCGTCTTTCCAGAGCGTCTTGTTGGCAATAGGTTTCTTACGGCCACACTACTGAAGTTTTATTGCAGTTAAGAATTCTTTTGTATCTACTCATTCTTTCAGTGTAAAAATTTTAACATATCTCTTATGTGAGTCTGATTTCCATCTCCCTAACTTCTTCAGCCGCTTTTCTTTTGTATCTAAATTTGCCCTTAAGGAGGCTCCTCCTACTCTGAAAGAGTGTCCGGACCAAGTCTGGGTACTTGAAGACCCCCAAGCTTCTTCCAATCTCTTAAGGAACTTTCCTTTCTTCAAAATTCCTGATTTTGTCTTGAACAAAAACTTGTCCCTGTCTTCTGTTGCATTCATCTGCATCAATCTTCTCATTGCTGCTACTGGGTCTAGTACCGAAGGTTGTTCGTGGAGGTGTATAATTTGAATTTCTCCGGGTGTTGCCGTTTTCCCTTTCCTTAAATGAATTTTTACCCAACCTCCTAATTCCGACCTTCCAAACTCGACGTGGTGCCGCAAGATTGCTCCATCTTCTGCTTTCTTTCTGAATATCTCTCCAAGTCTCATTAAACCCCAGAACGCTATTAACGCGATGGCTGCTACAAATTCATGATGTTCTGATTGGCCTTTGCAGTAGTCTAAGAGTTTGAATAATTGTTGAACTGTAACTGGATTCTTATGTGTCGTGAGTAATTCTCCTTCTTCTTCTTTCCTTGTAGCCTTGAGTAACAGTTTGATTATTGCATCGTCTAGTTTTATCTTCCTGACATGTTTCACAAGGTGCCACACTCGGATGCCGTCAATATACTTGTCTATTGTCTTCAACACAATCTTCCTTTTTGGTTGAACTTTGCTAATTACTCCTGAGCGTCCTGCCCATGTTATGAAATTCTAGATGTCATTTGGTTGGATTCTTAATTGTTCATCAAATACCTTTCCTACTGATTCTATGTATTCTATAAATTTCGATAATCCTGACAAATAGCCTTTCAAGGTTGTTGTTGCCCAGCTACTCTTCGCCATATGTGCTCCTGCGTTCAAAGCATTCCTAAATGTGTCCTCAAAGTGACCAGGTAGTTTTGGTAATCACATTGGGTTGTGTCTGGTGGGTTGACTGGTCATTCGATAAGGAGGCATTTGAGATGGTTTGTTAATGTTGTCCCCTGTGTATGGGACCTAAGTATTGGTGGGTCATTGCCCTCTCCCGACCCGTTTTATCGGGTTGGTCTCATTTCTTTATTGGTATCCCGCGAGGTTTTGTTTGGCTCTCACGACTGCCTTAGAGGCATGTTCCTTATTTCTCGACGATCACTTCGACATACTCCTCTTAATTCTTCTTCCTTCTTCACCACCTGCCTTTCTGCTTGGTGTTACTTGCCCATGATATCAATGGAACCGATGTTTAATCCCGCCTCTACGAGGTGGGCACTCTCCCTTCTGTTAAGGTAACTCACTTTATGTTATATTTTGTAAGTCACCTTTCAATTTACATTTCAAGTTTGGCACAAGAATTCTACTAAATCACATGGTATCTTTACCCTGATTTGATCCTGCTTCCTCTTTGTCAAGTCTAGGCCTCTCGACAATGCGTCTGCGGCGTTGTCTTTCGAGCGCACTCGCTTTGCTTCTATCGCGCTATTGTGTTTTAATAGGTCGGCCTGTATGAGTTTCCATTGGCGGTTTACCAGTGTATCCCTCGACTTGCCGTTGTTGATCGCGCCTTCTGACACGGTGTTGTCTGTTAACGCGAGGTAAGTGTTTCCTTCTACGTCTTTCAAACCTTTTACCATTATCCATCCTAATCTAATTGCCACTGTTTCTGCCCACGCAATTCCCCGTTTCAATCCTTCATTGTCAGTTTTGTCCCAATTGTCTTTCAACTTGAATCTGGACCACTTTTTTCCAACTATAATGCCTAATCCATACGACATTGAAGCATTGCCGACCCACCCTATTGTACAGGTTTCAGGTTTGGGATGACTCGGAGCGGATTTGCCGTCATTAGTGTTTCTCTCCAGATTCGTAAGTCTTCCAACACTTCATCTGGGATGTCTCGTAAGGCGTACTTATGTTTCCATTGCTGTAACAATCTATACGTTGCTGCGCAGTAGAATTTCATTTGCGGGAATACGTAGGCGGCGTGCTGCAACCATCCTACCATCTTTTCTGTTTCTTTAAAGGACTGCTTATCTTGTTTCAAGTATTCTTCTATTTGAGTAATCCTTAACTTCAACTTTTTTTCAGGTAAGCCTACTGTTTTGTTTTCTTCGTCCCAATTGAAACCAAGATATTTCTGTTTGAAACTGAACTCTCTCCACTTTCCTTCATTTGTAACCACACCCATTCTTCCGCTTGCTTCCACTACGTCGGCCATATTACCTGCTTGCGTGTCTTCAACCGGTTTCACGAACAACGTGTCATCCACCCAACAAAAACCTGCTAACATCTTAAACTTATGCACCATCAACTCCTTCCAAGCCTCTGCAGCCCATCCGAACGTTCCACAACCTGCGACGCCTCCGAATTGGACCCTTGTGTCTAGTAATACTTCGCCGTTGAAGTGATCTAATACCATCAAGAACCTCCATTGATCAACCACTACTGGAATTTGCCTATACGCTTTGGCACAGTCGAAGATTCCGAGTAGCAATTTCCCTTTATATTCAATGAAGAAAACTGCCACCTTTTTAAAGTCGTCACAAGAGGTAGCGAACTCCTCCTCATCTACGTTTTCATTTACTGACTGAATGTTTCTAAGATGTCTTGGGTACGACAGGTCACTTATGGGTCTAAATGATCCATCACCATTTATCACAGCACCAAGCGGATTCGTTCTGAAAAACCTGATTTTCTTGTATACTTCTTCTTGAGTCCAAGGGCCATACATCCTACCCGCCTCAAGTTCAGTTTTGAAATTATCTTCTATTTTCTGTTTTGCTTGTTGAGCTGATGTGTGATTTGGGGGGCAATAGAATCTTTTTTTTGGTATGTCTGCATTTACAATATCTTGTGTAAACCCCTTCTTAAACATCTTAAACATGTGTTGATATTTCTCCAGTAAGTTTTCCTTTCTTAACTCTTCCTTCCACACTTCTAAATTCATGTCGTATGATGGTTGTTCTGGCCAGCTTCTTACATTTTCTCCTCTTTGATTGCAGACTATTTTGTGAATCTGCTCATTAGTACTATCAGGGACGGGTGATTGTGTTACTCTTTGGTACCAATTCACAATTCAATAGGTAAGGCAAGAAATTGGCAAGGGTAGGGTTCAGGGTGGGGAAATTGTCACTGGTTAGCTACCATTTAAGGTAATACATTTCATTTCTGTCCTTCTACATAAAGTAGCTTACGAACGCTTCCATTTCCTGTCTGATCTTTTGTCATACCGCCTCTCGGGGCTTTTACTACGTTCTCTCTTTTTCTCCTCTCCCCATCTGGGTCCTCGGCTCTCAAAGTTTGACCGACTTTCGAAACCAGCTCTGCTTTTGTATCCTCCGCCTCTTGACCTTCGGTTCCCTCCATTTCCTTGGTACGTACTTCCACTTGCGTGTGTGTTGAACGCCGTGTTGTTGTTGTTGTTGGAGTTGTTGTAGAGGTTTCCGTAAGGTGAGTGGCTCTTGCTTGCAGAGGGTTTATTCGTAATTGACCTTTTGACCTGGTTTTTATAGGGGCATATGTGTGCTTTTAGACCTCCCACAGCGTACGGGTTGGTTTGAAGACACCACAAGGCACGCCGTGGTGGCATAGTCCATTCACGTGAAAGGTCAAGGGCGAATGCGTGAAAGAACAGACCATACAGGTTCTCGAAGAGAGAATTTGAAATCTCAGATCTAGAGATTTCAAACTCTAAGCTTCTTCATCACACATTCTCACTTGGCACACTTCTTCACCTAGCTTTCAGTCGACGCTCATCTCCTTTTTGCTCTAGAACTCGTATTTCAATTTAAAATAATTGCATAATAGTCACATAAGTGAATAATAATAGAAACGAAAGAAATCAAAGAAAGAAAATGGCTTTAAGAAATCAAATCGACAGAGCAGCAAATAATCTTCAAAGACGATTAACAAGAGCAGAGGCAGCAGCAACAGGTACACAGCTAGAAGAGCGGCTAGTAACACCACGAAGAAACGGAGGAAGACGTCAAGAGCAACAAGAAGGCATCAGAAGAGAAGAGCAAGGTAGTGATGAAGAAGAATGTTCGCATGTGCCAAGATTGAATCAGCCAATACCAGAAGAGGACGAGGAATGGGGTGGAATAGGAGAAGTGGATGGAGACGAACAAAGAGAAGATGAAACAGATCAGATGGATATTGATCAAATTGAGAAAAGAATAATAAAAGGTAAGATATAACTCACTGATGTAACTTTCCATTTGTCACTCCTCCTATCCGATATCAACCATTCATGATGGCGAAACGTTTGTAAACACAACAAGATCGTACGAGATCGTAAAGCCTGGCCCGGCTACAAATAGGAGCCCAGCCAGGATCGGCTTACAGTAGATACCACGCCTGGTCTGGCTTAGAATAAGACCCAGCCAGCGCGGGCTTACAATACGTTGCTTAAACTTCTATCAACCTCCACGACGTAGAGGTACGGACGCTGACATTTGGGGTGGTTCCTTTGCAATTCCTTCGTATTCAGAAGCACGTAGAGAAGCTCTGGTGGAGTTGATCCAGGACGCTTACGATAGAGATGATGACGCCGGTGCAAGACGCCTAACAAAACGTTTGAACAAGGAAGACGGTGTAGAAGAGCCGGGAAATCCTTACGTGATGGATGAAGAGTCATCGAAGTCGTCCGATGATGAGGCGAACGTCCGGTCATTTCTAGTAACCAAAGTACCTCCGGAAGCCCCTAGCGTGACCTTTGTTTGTGAAACCCAGCGACAAGGCCCAGCAGACCGAGATCAACCAGCTATCATTAAAACGACTGCTACGTCAGCACTCAAAGAAACTGTAGATTGGTTCCAAGGATGCTCGAGTCAGGAAGAGTCAGATAAAGCAAAAGCTTTAATGACGGCGAAGAAAGGTTCACTTACCTTGTCGAACAGCGATATGATCCACAATGGACGCGTATTCCGGTCTGGTCCAGCTAAGATGGGAGACGCTATCACACCTTTATCGCCTCATCTGACCTTGAAGTTGAAAGGCCTCAAGTCTTTCATCCCTTTACCCGTGTTCGATGAAGAATTTCTGATTAGAGACCAAATGGCCTGGTCCCTGTTACCACCGAAGTCAGAAGACAAAGCGGATAAGGAGAAGAGGTTGTACGGAGGAGAAGGTCCAAAAGAAGAACTTACAATGGATTTTGAGGCCTGGAGCGATTGTATGGAGTTGATGTGCGTACATTTACGAGACCAGGACTGGGGTCCAGTAGCGGATCAATTCGAGAGTCACATGGTGATTGTAAAGCAATTAAGGAAGGATTTTGGGTGGATGGTCGCATTGAGGTATTGCCGGCTCGTAAGACAAGGAGTAATGCGAGAAACAATTGATAGCTCGATGGGGAACTGGGCGGAATTGCAAGACCATTTGTTAGCTCAAGCAAAGACCAAAGCCGAAAGCTATAATGAGCGATATTACCGAACGAATCCTTACCCCGAAAATGGTCCAAAAGCCAATATATGCCCTTACACCAACCAGACCAAGACTTCTCAGCCGGTTGCAAGCACAAGCAGTACAACCTTTAACACCTCGTACACCCCCAATCACCATACCAGTGTTAATCGCCATGCAACTGGAAGTTCGTATCGTGGAAACGGTGGTGGTAAGAGAAACAGAGGAGCTCAACCGTGGAACAGAGACCGAGATCGTGATGTCCGAGGCCCACGATGGGGAGATGAAAAGAGGAAAGAGCGTAGCAAAAGCCCTGAGAGGCGGCACGAAAAGAAGGGAAATGACGGGAGATGGAAGCGATCGTAAGCTGTAGCCCACGTGGCCGGATGATGTGAATGAAATGCATTACCTTTCATGGTACTGATCCTTGACCTGTCCCGTCACGCTCCATGTGCCTTTTGCCTTGCCTCACGATCCTATCCTCCATGCCAACGTACCTTCTTAAACAACTGATGACGGCATGTACGGTTAAAGTGAGGTTGGAAACTCAAGTTTGACTAACCCTATTGTCTTAAATTGCCGGGGAGAAGACGTAAAAAGCTGGCCGGAGAGATCGTCCTACGAAATGAACCTCGAAGTCTGGGAAGAGGAGTTAAGAACAACAGGCCTATTTCAGAAATACAAACACATCTTGAAAATGTTTAAATCTGGATTTTCGCAGGGAATTGTAAATGCAGGTATACCTTCGAAACGGTTCTATTGCCCACCTAATCATACGTCAGCAAAACAAGCTCAGGAGAAAATAGAGGAAAACTTCACTAAAGAGCTGTTGGCAGGTCGAATGTATGGTCCGTGGCCACAAGAGGAGGTTTACCAACGGATAGGTTTCTTCCGAACCAATCCTTTAGGCGCAGTAGTGAACGGCGATGGGTCATTCAGGCCTATAAGCGATCTATCTTACCCTAGACACGTACGAAATATTGAATCAGTAAACAAGAACGTAGATAAAGAAGAATTTGAAACATCCTGGGATGACTTTAAGAAGGTTGCAATCTTTTTCATATCATAGAAAGGAAAGTTATTGCTGGGGATATTCAACTGGGCTAAAGCTTACCGACAAATACCGGTAGCGATAGACCAGTGGAGGTTCTTGATGGTGTTAGACTTTAATGACGAGGTCCTACTGGATACGAGGGTTCAATTCGGCGGCATAGCAGGATGTGGTACTTTTGGTTGGGCGGCGGAGACCTGGAAAGAAGTGATGGTAAAGAAATTCAAGATGTTGGCAGGCTTCCGCTGGGTCGATGACACCTTATTCGCCAAACCAGTTGAAGACACCGAGGCGGGTAACATGCTAGATATCGTGAAAGCGAGTGAAAGAATGGGGGTAGCCACGAATGAAGAGAAATGGCGAGAATTCACTTACGTTCAGAAATACTTAGGTTTCGTCTGGGATGGAGAGAACAAAACCGTCAGCTTACCGCAGGAGAAAATAAAACTTCGAATTAGTCAAATCAACGAGTACTTACAAGACAGCAAACAATCTTTTAAGGAGACCGAAAAGCTAGTTGGACGGCTACAACACGCAGCGTATGTCTTCCCACAGATGAAAGTGTATTGTGCAGCCATCTATAGGATGTTGCAACAATGGAAGCATAAGTTTGCATTGCGAGAAATCTTGGAAGAAGTGCGAGAAGACCTACTAATATGGAGAGCCACACTCCAAACGGCAAACCCGCTTCGAGTGATCCCGCAACCCGTAACACAAACGATAGGTTGGGTAGGGGATGCCTCGACATCGTACGGTCTAGGAATTATCGTAGGAGTCTCCTGGTCAAGGTTTAAGCTAAGAAGAGGATGGGACGTGGTGGAGAAAGATGGCACGAGACGAGGTATCGCCTGGGCGGAAACAGTGGCAATAAGGTTAGGTTGGATGATGGTGAAGTTGCTAAAGAGAGTGGAAGGTAACACTTACTTAGCTCTAACGGATAACACCGTATCAGAGGGCGCAGTGAATAACGGGAAGTTGAGGGATCCATTGGTAAACCGGGAATGGAAAATCATCCAAGAAGATTTGATTCGTCATAACAGCGCGATTGAAGCGAAACGGGTGAAATCTGCAGATAACGCAGCGGATGCCTTATCTCGGGGACTAGATTCAACAAAGAAAGCTTGGAATGAGATCAAAATAGAGATCCCGGAAGACTTGAAACGCTTTATTGTACAAACTTGAATAGAAGTGACCAGACTTACGAATGACTTACAAATAGAGACCTGATCCAAACTCGCAAGTCGCGATCCCCAATATAATGTAAAGTATGAGATCTTGAGACCTGTGAGACCAGCAGGAAGCCATCTACAACAACACTATAAGACCCTTGTGAGCGTAAGGTAGCGGCTTCCAGACACCTTTGTAAGTGCACGGGAGTTGTGCACGTTGCCGAGACCGTATACAATAGGTTTCTTGGGGATGCAGGTTGAGTCGTGATCCTTGCGAAGATCACTCGATCTCTGGAAAGGGTGATCGGCGAGACTGACGTGGGTGACAAGCTCGTGACGTCTCGCTGGAGAGTAAAGAGGGGGGGTACGTAAGTAACCGACCCGATGCCCGAAGTAGGAAACTAGACAAGTCGTATGAACAAATTCAAGGGAAACAACTAAGAACAACTTCGAGGGAAACAACTAGCCTTACGTCAGCTTACGAACGAAAGAAATACGATAAATCTTGACAAAATGCCACCTTACCGAGCAAAACGACAACCCATCCGAAAGAACTCAGGACCACCAGGTCACTTCGGCGCAGCATTGCAAACAGCCTCCGGACCAGGAGCCCACATGGCCAAGAGCAGTTGGGCGAAATCAACCTTAAAAGGGTACTCTTCGGGATTGTCGAAGTTTATCGAGTACATCGAATCAAAAGGAAAGATTTTCGACGACCGCTTACACATCCAAAGCAACGATATGTACGGTTTTATAGCTTGGGCAGGCCGTTCGGGGATAGAAGTCGGGGTTCAACCGAAACGGAAGATCGCATCGAAAACAATCAATAAGTACATAGACGGCATTCAAGCCTGGCATCTAGTAAAGCATGTGAGAAAGATTAAGTTGGATGAGTCGATTGTAAAGCTTTTGATCCGAGCTACAAAGAATGAAGAAGAAGAAGTTCTACTTACGGAAAGCAAGAAACCAGTCACTGTTCAACAACTGTTCTCCCTGCTGGATTACTGTGAAGGCAGATCGAAAACGCACGAGTTCGTAGCAGGTGTTGCAATAGTAGCCTTTTGGGGTTTAATGAGGCTAGGTGAAATCTTCAGGGCGTCAAAAAAAGGAGGAGCTGTCTTGCGTAGGCACGTAGAGTTTGGAAGATCGGGGAAAGGTAGTTGGGCGAAGATTCATCTGAGGAAGGGGAAAACAGCGAAACCTGGAGAAATTCAGACAATACACTTACAAGAACAGCCGTCAGTACTAGACCCCGTGGCGGCGATGCGCCGGTTGATAGCGATGAATACGAATGACGACCGAGAAACCTTCCTATTTCAACTAGACACGAAGTTGTTGAAGAAGAGTACCTTCATACGACTGATTGAAGAGGCCTGGGGAGCATCAAGCGTACAAACATGGTCCGGCCACTCCTTCAGAGTGGGAGGAGCATCGCTACAAGCGAAGCTTGGGACGAGTTTGTCGAAGCTGAAGAGGACAGGAAGGTGGAAGTCAGATTCGTATAAACGTTACGTGAAAACCTTCACAGCAGAAGAGGTAGAGGCGACAAAAGAATTTTTAGACACAATAAAGTTTGTATGAGCTTGGGAGCTAATCTTGTGGATTGCATGAATGTAAGGCATACAGTATTGTTGGGTTACAAGCCTCCTCACCTTCCCCACCCCCGTGACTCGTCTCCTGATAACTTACGACCCACCTCCTGATAACATACCGTAGATGGGAGTTGCCCTCCAGGCCAAGGACGGTACGTTACCACACGAACCATTCTTGGTGGAGGGGTCGTCGGACAACCCATCTCGGAACTAAATGGAGGGCGGGTGGCCCAGGCTGAAAGCAGCACGCGCTCGAAAATTGGTTTCCGAAAACCATTCGAGGAGCGGGCCTTCGGCTTCTCCCACACAGCGCTACCCTCACCATCGAGGCAAGGGTAGCGCAGGGTGAGTTACCTTTGACCGCCATCAGGCGGTCATAAATACCAGTAACTACATCAATGGAAAAACACATGAGCCTACTGAAGCTAGAGAATGGATCGATAATGTCTCTTGTTATGGCTTTCAGCTTTTGTCTTAGCTTGTGCTAGCAGATGTTCTTGCAGTTCTGCCCAGTTTCCGAGGGCGCTATCAATGGTCTCCCGCATCACTCCTTGCCTCACCAACCTGCAATATTGTAACGCCACCATCCACCCGAAGTCTTTCCTCAACTGCTTCACGATTACCACATGGCTTTTGAATCTATCTGCCACCGGGCTCCAATCTTGATCTTGTAAATGTATGCAGAACAGTTCCATACAGTCGCTCCAAGATTCAAAATCCATGGTGAGTTCTTCTTTTGGGCCTTCTCCTACGTACATTCTCTTTTCTCTTTCTGATTTCTCTTCTGACTTTGGGGGTAATAAGGACCACACCATTTGGTCTCGAATCAGGAATTCTTTGTCGAACACCGGTAAAGGTATGAATGATTTTAGGCCTTTCAGCTTAACGGTTAAGTGAGGAGATAATGGAGTGATGGTGTCTCCCATTTTCGCTGGAACGGATTTGAATACTCTTCCGTTGTGAATCATATCTCTGTTAGATAAGGTGAGGCTTCCTTTTTTCAAGGTCATCATTGCTTTAGCCTTGTCTGACTCTTCTTGGCTTTCACATCCGGGATACCAGTCTTGTCGTTTCGCGTCTACCTCTCTATCAAGCGTTGTTTCCTGGACAACCATTACACTAGGTGCGTTTGGTATTTTCTTCTGCGCCACTAGGAAGGATCTGACATTTGCTTCGTCATCTGAAGATTTTGACAAGTCATCGTCAACCACGTATTGGTTTGTTGGGTCTCGGTCCAGGTCTTCTTTATTCAGACGGTCAGTTAGGCGTTTAGCGCTTTCTTTGTCGTTGCAATTGTACACATCTTGGATCAATTCAACCAAAGCTTCACATCGAGCGTCTATTCAACCAAAACCATGTTTCCGTTAGCGCCAACTCTTCTATGTCTACTGTGACTTCTATGGTACATATTGTAAGCCTGTGCTGGCTGGGTCTTATTCTTTAAGCCAGGCCAGGCTGAGGTATCTATTGTAAGCCGACCCTGGCTGGGCACCTATTCGAAGCCAGGCCAGGCTATTCCCATTACGCGTGACAACATAGTTGACGTGTTGCGAATCTATATTGGCTTTGAGCGAAGAGAGAAAGAATAGGGAGATTTGAAATGAAGATGTTTGAGTGAGTCTTACCTTTTTTAATCCTTTCTGTTATATGATTCAACGTTGGACCTTCTTCTAATGTCTTTTCTTCCAACTCTTCTTCGTTCTCCTCTTCTACTTCCTTTATTCCTCCCCATTCTTCACTTTCTTCTTCTTCCTCTTCATTTCTTTCTTCTACTTGATTTAACCTTCGTCGTGGTATGTGTGACCTATTTCCTTCACTTTCCTCCTCTTCTACTCGTCTTCTTGCTTGACTTCTACCTCTACCATCACCTCTTCTAGGTGTCACTAGCCTCTCTTCTAATTGAGCGCCTGTTGCTGCCGCTTCTGCTCTAGTCAATCTTCGCTGTATGTTATTTGCTGTTCTATCGATTTGTTGCCTTAGGGCCATTTTGTGTGATTCAAGATCTAATATTAAATTTGAGAAACGAGTTCTAGCAAAGAGTTGATTGAGCGCTGAAAAATGAAAAGCTTCTTTCCACCTGTGCCTACCCGACACTTCGGACACTAGCCGAAGGAAAATGTATCATTCTCATCGGTGATAAGCCGAAGACCTCCCTTTCGACACGCTGACGCGCCTGCCGCGTCGGCGGCTGAAGAAAATTTTCAACTTTAACACCCTCAGGAACACCGAAACACTGCTCTAACACCTCTTCTGCACCATATTCACAAAGAAAAAAACATTGATTTAGCTGAATAAAGGACATATAAACGTCTTATAACCCATCAAAGACCTGTAACTCCATCCCTGTGTGACTTGAGATTATCATGTGGGACCAGAGTCCCACATGTGGGACATAAGCTCCCTCATGTGGAACGTGATATGTGGTAAATTGGATCCCCCATGTGGGACATGTAGTTCCTCATGTGGGATTAGCGTTCCACCTTAGTCTTTGTGAGACGTAAGATTACATATGTGGGAAATTAGATATCTCATGTGGGACATATAGTCCCTCATGTGGGATAGCGTCCCACATTAGATGTGAGATTACACATGTGGGAAATTGGATATCCCATGTGGGACACATAGTCCCTCATGTGGGATTGGCGTCCCACATTAGTGATTGTGAGACGTCAGATCACATATGTGGAAAATTGGATATCCCATGTGGGACATATAGTCCCTCATGTGGGATTGGCGTCCCACATTAGTGATTGTGAGCTGTGAGATTACACATGTGGGAAATTGGATATCCCATGTGGGACATAGAGTTCCCCATGTGGGATTGGCGTCCCACATTAGTGAATGTGAGATGTGAGATTACATATGTGGGAAATTGGATATCCCATGTGGGACATATAGTCCCTCATGTGGGATTGGCGTCCCACATTAGTGATTCAAAGTTACACATGGGCGGCTTTGGATTTCTATCATTCATGTGGGACATATAGTCCCTCATGTGACACCCAGGATCCCACATGTGGAACATACGATCCCACATGTGGAACTTAAGATCCCACCTGTGGAACACATGATCCCACAAGTGGGACACAAGAATAGTCATTGAAGTTCGCCTCCCTCTTGGATTAATGTGTGACAGAGATCCCACATGTGGGAATTCAACTCCCACATGAAGAAATGGTACCATCAATCCCACATATGTAGGTTTGAATTCCACATGTGGGAACACTCAAATCCCACATATGTAGATATAATCACACATGTGGGACTAGTTCGTATCTCCTATGTGTCATTTACATCACCCCTAAGTATATATGTACTTATGTATGTACTTAAGTAACCACCCACAGCTTCGCCAGGGACCGAATGAGTGAAAGACTTGAAAAATCTTTCCCATCGATCCCACAACATCAAGAATCCCTCTCACCTTCAATCACACAACATCTCTAGGAAAAATATTGAATTTTCGATGGACTCTTCCACTTCAACCACCAAGGATACTTCCCCCCCCTCTGTTCCCACGACCACCGCAACAACTACCACAACAACTGCCACCCTCTCTACCGGCGAGACTTCGCTTGCAACCACCACCAACCCACCTACTGAACCGGCCCAAACCACGAGTCTAACATCTACCAAGGACGCAGGACCCCCTACCTCTACCGAGCAGCAAGATGCCACTATCACCTCCTCGGAGCCGAAAACGTACACCAAGATACCACCTCCACCTAGAGAGGGTACCTTCAAGACCGTCGATGATGTAGAAGCCCACCTCACCGCCCATGCCCGTGCTAACCAATACGAAATCACGAATCTAGACGTGCGGAAAAACCTATTCTCGACTTGGAAATGTGCTCTTGGACCGAATCGCAAGCAGACCCGGGCTAAGAAAGCAGCTGAAGCACAGGGAAAAACGCTTGATATTCCCACATGCCCATTTGCGATGACTGCGAAACGAGATCCGGTTACCGATACTTGGTACATCAAGATTGAGGATAACAAACACAATCATGGGCCAATACTCGACCTGAAGATAGATCATGATGCGCCCTTGGTGAAGCCTAAGAAACGGAAACGAGGAGAAAATGAATCGAAGGCCAATTCAAATTCAATTCATACCTTGAATGACATCAAGATAGCTGCCTCAAAGACTGATACAACCGTATCAGCCCCAAAGGAACCGAATGAAGCATTATCTCCACCTAAAACGCTCTCTGCAATACCTCAGCAATATCATGCCTTGATCACGCATTTGCAAGAACTTGACCAAGCTACCGAGCAACGTCTACTCGCGGTCTTTGTAAGGGATTGTCAACTAGCTAAAAATCTAACTGAGCCAGTCATCAACAAAGTACGTCATTTTTTTTTCTTTGATATAAGTTACCAATCAATTAATTTTTTTTTTCATTCTTCAATAGCAATCGACCACCACCACCGCTGGACGATCCCATTCTCGATCAGTAGAAACTGATCAAGAACCCCAATTACACGAACAAACAAAAGACAAGGAAGAACGAAAAAATGAAGAGGAAGAAAATGCGACCATCGATGATAACGACTCCGATGATATCCCTACCACTCTCTTAATTGAAAAGCATACTCCAGCAAAAACTACTGACACTCAGACCAAGAATTCAACAAAAACAACTAGTGAAGAAGCGCCTTTAGAGCAAGCTATAGGTACTGAGACCAACAAAACAAGGCCACCAACCCGCAAATCCACTCGAGTGAATTCACATTCAGATATTGTAAGCCTATCATTACCCTCCAATATTATATTTATCATCTGTTGAGAGACACCTCAGTCTCTCGTACCTAGGTTTCAGCCGTGGTGAAAGGTGAATAAGACTCTAAGTATCAAATCACTTTACATACTAAAATACAGTAGTTTTATTCAAACTTAAGATGTCAGACTCAAACTTAAATGATCCCTATTTAAATTGCGCCTCCCCCTTTTCGCGCTAATACTCTTTTCCTTTATCCGTCTTCTTACGGAAAGGAAAAGAGTAAGTTCAACCCCTTCACTACATTATCATCAATAGTCTCTACTCTCCATTAGTTTGATCTTCAATATGACTGTTACTAATTATCATACTGTGATGTTATCTTTTTCTTTTTCATCTGAATCATTGTCGACGCTAGATCTTACTGAACTCATCGCGTCGACCCTTTTCCTTATTTTATATTGTGACCTGAACAAACCTTATAGGGTCAGATACATAGTCAACTGTGCTATTCTTTCTATTCTCTTCATCTAACAAGTAGTGTCCTTTTTGTACTTGTCTATTTCTATCTTTTGTTCTATATAGGTTAGTGTTTCAGGTATTGTGACCGAGAAGTGATTGAGACTCACTTCTAGAAACTGTCACGGGAATTCAGGTGAAATTGATCCGTCTTCTTACGGAAAGGAAAAGAATCTTACTGAACTCATCGCGTCGACCCTTTTCCTTATTTTTATATTGGTGACCTGAACAAACCTTATAGGTTAGTGTTTCAGGTATTGTGACGAGAAGTGATTGAGACTCACTTCTAGAAACTGTCACGGGAATTCAGGTTAGTGTTTCAGGTATTGTGACGAGAAGTGATTGAGACTCACTTCTAGAAACTGTCACGGGAATTCAGGTATCTCGACAAAGGAGATTGTCGCT